GCTGTCAGCAGCAATGTTTGGGAGCAGACAAGGTGGGAATCTCTTCTTCCTTGACTCCCTTACTCTGCCTCTTCAGAGCTTGAGACCTCTGCAGAAAGTATCTTGTACAGAACTTTTGTGGTTACTCTCAGTTCTCCTCTTGCCTGTTGACTGCTCCTTCCTCCAGGAAGCAAACCTTTCTGTTTGTGAACCGATAGTCATTCCAGCTGAACTGCAGGCTCTGGGAGAGGAGAGCTCTGTTGATATAGAGGATTCAAGGGAGGGGAGTGTTTTCCATGGCTGTTGAGTACTTGTGGCAAATGCCTATTTTTCTTGTATCTTAAGCTGACTCTGCAATGAGTTCTCATTTTGACCCTAGAGCTTTCTAAGAGTTTGGCTAGTAGATTGACTGCCAGCAGTCTATTTAGTTTTTCTGTGTGTATTTCCATAAAAATGAAAAGAAATTAATTTGATTAATTATTCCATATTACTTGAGTTAAGACCCTGTAGTTAGTTATAATGGAAATTCTTACACAGATCACCCTTTCTGGATGTTTTTCTGCAGTATTTGTTATGTTATCTTTTTCCTATTCTGCTCTACAAATACCAATTCTTTCAGTTATCATCTTTATTACTGCAGTGCTTGGATAGAGATACTGTGATTAAATTCTTAGTTCTGCTCCCTACATATTGCTTTCAGTTTCAGGAAGGAAGCTGTCCGTTATGGGCTTCCAGAATAGGAGGGAAACCAGTGGAACTTGCGCCAGTGTCACTGCTTGACCCCTGTAAGAACTGAAGCTTCACTAGGTGCTTTTAGTTATACTGTTGATAAATTACATACAGTTCAGGAAGATGGTAGCACCTGATCTAAAATTTTGACAGGGACCCAGGCTGATTTGTCTTTCTGGGTTGTAATTCTATGGTTGGAGGTGTTTGTATGAATGACTGATAGTGAGTTGCAATGGCTTAACTGTCTATTTAAATGTCACAGGTAGAGGAGGATGATGATACTGAATCACGAGAGGAAGAAGAGAAGGAAGAACTGAAAAACTATTCAAGAAGAAAGATTTTTTCCAACTGGAGCCGCTATGAGGATACAGAAAAAGAGGGACAGAGTGAACATGGGGAATCACAGAGAGGAGCAGACTTCAGTGTTTTGCTTAGCTCAGCAGGTAAGCATTTTCTACTCTGTAGAGAGTTTTCTAGTTTTGCATTTTGAAATGTTACTACTTTTCTGGCTGTTGTCCTTCATGATGAAACAGAACCCTAGAACACCATTCCTATCTGCCTCAGTAAGTCTGCCATTGATGTATTTAGGAGTGTTCAAAGTCTGCACTGAGCCATGGCAGATGGGGAGTAAAAGAGGGTTGCTGCAATTACAGCCTTCTCATGAAATTACGTAGGGGCCTGAGTGTGTGCAGCATCCAGTTACTTTGAAGCTATTCTTGCTGACAATGAATTTCTTACTGATCTTGGTCATTGGGTTGCTTTCCAGAAAACAAAAAAGGTTGCTGGTATGACTAAACACAGCAAAGCAGTCAAGCAGCTGCTTGCTGTTGTTTGTTTTGACAAAGATTTGTAATCAGCACTGTACAGATGTGTGCATGAATAGCAAATGTTACCCTCCTTGAAAATAAAGATCAGTTGTTTTCCCCTCTTTAAAGGAGATAATAGAAGGATGACGTGGAGGGACAGGTTGTACTAGATCCCATTTTTTTTTTTTTTAGCTATACATGAATAGTATGGGCAGTTGTACAAAAAACCAGTTACCTAAATTTATTTTAGAAACTCTTGATATGCTGTTGTGTTTACCATTCAGTAAAAAGCTGCAAACAAAGTATTATGGCTTTTTTTGAGCAACTTGGAAGCTCTGAAATGTCTCAAATCTAAATAAATGGATTTTTTAGCCACAGCTTGGAGGGGTAAGTTAGAAATTACCTACAGTAAAGAAACAAGGACCAGAGCTTTCTTTGTCCGTGCCAGAACGAATTTCTGAAGTTCAGTTTTGCATGAACATTGCAGAATTGGGCCTAAGTTGCCAGTTTTAATCATAGGATCATGTGATGAGTATTGACTTCTCTGAATGGTATGTTGCATGTTAAACAGTGTTGGAGTCAAGATGCCTGGTATCGACCTCAGGGCTGAATAGGTAACACAGCCTGGGGAGCAAAGTAGATATCACAACTCAAAACTTTTTAAATCAAGAGACCTACCCTGAGCTGCATGGTGCCATGGTTTAGCTTTTTAAAACAAACTTTAATATCTCTAACTTTATACTTAGCCTTCATAATGTCTTTAAAATGTTCTGATGAATAGTACTTTTGAACTGAGGATATAAGGAAATACTGTATATTTCTACTAATTTGTATTTTTGCTAAGTTATAATTCCATACAGTTATTACCAGCCTATTTATTTTACTCTGTAGAGTCTCTAAATGCCTAAAATTAAAATCTTGTTAGTTAGTATTCTTACTAGTTATTAATTCTGAATCTTTCATTTAAAGAGTACTTTACTTTATTTTAGGATATATTGTGACTGTTCTTGACATTAAAATAAATTGATAAGAAGCAGCAATGAAATAAAGTACTTTCAGGGGCAGAAGAAAATACCTTCTAAACAATAATGCAGATTTCTTGGAGTCACATAAAAAGCAGTGTGTGTCAGGGTGTTTCTTTGTATGGTTTCTTTGGCTTACGTGTGAAAACTGAGAATGCAGTCATCTTTATTGCTAATGGTCTGAGAAGAAGCTTGCATCTCTGCTTTATTTGATAATTTTGACTTCTGTTAGTATATTGCTGTTTAGCATTCTGAAGTTGCACAATGGATCCAATTCAACTGCAATAAGCAGTTAGGAGAGGGAATGGAGTTAAAGTGCCATTTTTCATGAATGCCAAAGCTTAGAAACGTCTTGCAATTTACTATTAACACACAACAATGTAATTAATGCAGCCAGTTAAGAACCCCCTGGCAAAAGCTCAGATTAAAAACCTGTCCTGCTATGTAACATTTAGGTTCCATAATATTGAAAGCAAGGTCTTTAAAGAGTGCCATCCTTCAAGATACAATTTGGATTTATTCCCAGAAAATACCCTGTTAATTGAATGAGATAGGGTAGAAAAAATAGTTTGGGATAATGTAATAATAAAGACAGAATTAATGCTAGTAGACAAACTGAAATGGAGGAATTCCTGACGTACAAGAAATTAAAATTCCAAGCTTGGTATTTGTTCGATATTTTGTAAACGTGCTTCTATGTGTAATTTTCTAGTTAAATCAACAAAAAAATAGCAAAATGAGACGACTAATATTCTGTGACATGGTGTCATGTTGATAATTAGCAGGATTGGAGCTTTTAAATCTAGTACATGAACATTACTGTTGCTTAAATTAAGAAAGTAACAGTTACAGGTTGTTATACTGTGTTTTTATCAGTAGTAGAGGAAAGTGGGATATTTTTTCTGAGAGGGGGAGGAAAGGGTTTGCAGATATTTGCAGAGGATGATAAGTCTTTAGGGGATTTTATTTTAAATTTTTCAATAGCTTCTGAAGACACACACTTTTTTTAGTTTTTTGCCTATACTTCAGCTTGTCCCTGCCTCAAGCCAATCCTCAGTGCAGCAGTGATTCTGTCTTTTCAATCAGATGTTCAGCCCTGACTAGTCCCAGGCTGTCTCTGACTGCACCTTGTCTCTCTGCTGTCACCCTTGGCCTGCCTACTAATTCTTCTCACTCTCCCTTGCTTCTGTTGATTTTTCTTCTTGTCTATGTTTCTCATTCCTGGTGGTCAGTCTTTTCTTTTGTTGTGAGCCAGCTCCCTTCCACCTATATTCACTAAAATCCAGCTCTGTAAGATATATTCTCTCCCTCGCTCTACCCAGTCCTGGTGATTCCCAGTTCTGAGTTATTCTGCCTGGGCTTGCTCATTTGGCTTAATTTTTCTCTCATCCACTACCACATCTTCTTCTTACATCCCTCTTAGTTTCTTTCCTTGTCTAGTCAATCTCAGTTTATTCTTTGAAGCTTCCGGTTCTAGTCTCCACTACAAGCTATTTTCTCCATCTTCCCTCCACACGCTCTGTCAATATACCCTAAATCCTACACAGTTACCCAACAATATGAAGCGACAGGCCACTGTTTTCAACTATGGTAGGGATATTGGCGCAGGTGAGGTTGCAGAAATATGCAAAACAACACTTTTTGTTCATTGTTTTACCTAATGCCTGTTAAATGCAGGCTTCTCTTACAGTGAAAATCTGTCTCTTCACTCATAACCAGAGGTTAGAGGAAACTTAATTCGGTTGCCTTGCACATCGAGATGACATACAGAAGGGCACTGAGGGATGGACTGTTTGGTGATGGGTTGTTAAGCTCCAGCAGATCTTGCCAAAAAATATGTACAAACTCTGATTTGTAGAAGTTTGTAGCTTGGCTAAATCAGATTTTTCACAAAATGAGCAGAGTGTACCTCTCTCTCATACAAAAACATTGTCTAGCCTGATTTCAAGTTACTGATTCAGGGCAAGAAAGTGGTTACAGTTTTTCAAAGGAAGAGCTTACAAGGGCTTTTTTCCCAGGTCCTTTCATGGTAGAAAAATGTTCCAGCCATTTTCTGACTTTTTTTTAAAAGGTGGTAGTGAAGGGAAGGTGAGGAAAAACTACCTGAAGCAGACAATTGACGTGGTAAATTTCAGACTGAATAGTTAAAAAAGCAGCTGAAAATAGTCCTAAGTAAGAACTGCTAGGTAGTTTTGGTAACAGCTGATGTCACTAGCCTGACAGAGCTTCTTTGTTAGAGCTTATTATATTTGTGTGTAAAGTAGGGTGATAACTTTAGTTTTTAAGTCTGTTTCTTTCCTTTTTTTCATTTTACAATTTTTTTTTTTTTTTAATTAACCTTGAATATAGCAAGGCAAACTTTTCTGTATTGCTTTTGATGTCTAGCTGATGTAAACTACAAGTCCATTGTGAAGCCTTCAGGGAATATGTCTTGAATCAATTTAGTAAAAATGCTGTTGAAGCGTAAAGAACAAGAGAAGTGGAAGTGATAGGATAACCTTACTTTGCTAGAAGAATCTTGCCATGTTTGAAGAGCTGTCCTCATTTTTTGACTGATGAGGGTTAAGTGTCCCAAAATACATTTAAGTCCTTCATTAAGTTTTTGGCTGTGAATAGATGCTTTAGGTTTAAAAATATGCTTTTAAAATCTCATTACAGAGCTGATCAAAATGTATCCAGGGACCTGATCACTTTCCTTTAAACGTGGTAGGCATTACCAGTACAGCACCCAAAAGCTGCCAACATACATGCCTCAATAACAGTGTGCTGAGTTGCAGGATGTGATGATTATGAAGATGAAAAAATATAATTTTGGACATTAATTTTTTTCCCATTTAGTTTTTTGGCCATGGCCAAATAATTCTGATGGCCTTAAAGGGTAAGAAAGAGAAATGCTGTGTAGTTCAAACAAAACTGGCAGAATGGTTTTGTTTGTAAGAATATATATAACTTCTGTAGGTACCTAGCACTTGAATACAATAAGAAATATGGAATAAAAATCAGAAGAGCAGTCACTGGAGCATAATAGTAATGAACAGTAAGTATAGGAATGTGAGGTAGCAGTTACTTTCCGTTCCCTAAAGCCCTGTTCTTTTGGTTTTTTAACTTCTTGCTTTTGGCCCCCTCTGTTTAATTTTGACGCGTCTATTGCAGTATATTGCTGCATTTTTGTCATTTTCGTGGTTGATACATACATGAGAATTAGCAGTGTACAGAAGACCATTGGCTGTCTTGGAAAAGCTGAACAGATAAACTTGTGGAGCAAGGCTTGTGTTAAAAATAGGTTTTCTTTCAAATTTTCTATCTTAAGTATATACTGACAGAGATTTGGAAAAAAAAAAAAGTAGAGTGAAGAGTAAATGAGTTTTCTTATTTTCGATGCTAATTCTGCTCAAACAAAAAGAATGGCAATGGCAGGGCATGGTTCAGATGCTAAAAAATAATCCTTTGAGTTTTAAAATTGTAGAGAATAGCTGAAAATCTGTTTTCTTTACAGAACTGCTTAACTCATTGTTGATTTGGATTATGATGTATATCAGGTGTCCCACTTTCCAGTGGTATTTGATTGCCAACTTCTACTACTTCTTGTTTTGTATGTCTGTTCTGTGAAATTAT